TTTGATTTTTCACGTTCAGAAAATCTTGGAGCGTGCAATTAAGTAGTTGCCAATGGCAGCAGTTCTTTTTCAAACTGCTCACCTTGCATCCCTGGAATACTCTTCAGTGAACCAGAAGCCCAAGTTATGATGGGGCTGCGCCCGTGTTAAAATTGGGTAGAGAACACATTTGAGAATGTCTGTTATTTTTACTACAGTTTTCAAAATAGTTTAAAATATCTGTTTGAAAATGAAGTTAGAATCAGATGCTTACAGAGCCCCTGAACCATCGCTGCCAAATACAGTGGCTCAAGTTTGTCACGTTGGCACAGGAGGAGCAGACTGGGGTAAGGGAGGGAGGGGGACGGGCTCAAGGTCCCCCGGTGGGTGGTTGTCTGGTTCACGGCCGGCACACATCGTCATCCCTCGGGGCCATCCAAGCATCGCTGATGTCCCTGACCCAGCGCTCCCATCGGAACCCCCAGCCAGCGCCCCTCCCTCCTCCACTTGCTCCCCACAACCCGCCACCCAGAGGGTGGGAATGCTGGCCCTGCAGCCGTCCTGACAAGCCTGGTGGCTGAGCTTCACAGTTGTCTGCCAGGCGGGTGGGGCAGGAGCCCCCACATCTCCCGGCCCCCATACGCAGGGCTGTTGGCAGGGAGGGGCTCAGGAATCAAAGCAGTCTCCAAGCTTGATGAATTGCCTTCGTTGGCATAGACGCTGCTTCCCTGCCTCTCGGACTGAGACAGCTCCGGCAGCGTTGCTCTCCTGTCTCCCCTCAGCACGGGGCAGCATGGGGGCAGGAGATAAGCCCCTTACCCTCCCTCCTCGGTGTCCTTTTCCCAGCTGCCAGGGCCTCCTGGGCCCTGACCACATGCAGGGATCCAGAAGCCTCTCGCAACAACGAGAGGCAGGCGATAGTGAGGGGAAGGCAGGTGACCCTGTGGGTGATGGGGGCAGGGCCTGTGTCCCGTGTGCGCTGGGCGCGGGGAGGGCCCGGGCCTGAGGTGGGCTTCCCCACTTACCAGTTGTGCCATCTTGGATTTGTGGCTTACCACCCCACCCCCAGCCTCAATTTCCTCATTTTAAAAACGTGGCAAACTCTACCAACGCGCAGGGCAGTTGAGAGGACAAAGTTTGCGCGTGGAGCCTGGGCTCCTGCTGTTACAATTCGATTGCTTTTGTTTCATCTCGTTTTTAAGGATTCGCTATTAGACCTCGTTGTGAAGGGCCGTCTCGGGGTTGCAGACGTTCCTGATGTCCCTCGACAACTAGTCCAGGGCGACTCCGGGCTGTTGACTGTCGCCAGTCTGGGGGGATTGGGCCCAGCCCAGAGCTCAGCTTTGTGAACAAGCCCAGGCAGAACCACGCATCGCTGATGGGGAGGGAAGGGGCGCTGCCTCCCCCTCCCCCCCTGGATGCCTGGTGCTTTGTGACACAACCTCCAACTGGTTTCCAAAGTGACAGAAATGGATTGGAGCCTTTCATCGCTGTGGATCCTTGGCACGACTTCTGTAGCAGCCCACGTTTCCTGAATGGCTCTCTGCCAGGTTGGCATGTCGGCTGCTGGGCTGTGCCAAGATCTGCGTACAAATCCTTGGGCTTGGAGAGGGGGTCCGTGCGGTCTTCCCCCGGCCCCTACTTCAGCTCTTTCTCACACACACACACGCTTACACACACCCACATTCACGCACACACCCTGGGGATATAATTCATGATCTTCCCCTCGGGTATAAATTCGACTGTGCTCCATCCGTTTCCATTCTGATCCGTGGGTGTCAGCGCCTATTGTGTGCAGGGAAGCCTGGGCAGATCCCTTAGCAGCGCCCAGTCTAGTCGGGGATTTAAAAGCTGATAGTCCCAGCTCAGAATGACACAAGAGGTCTTCGAGAGCCAGACAAAGCCGTGTGGAAGACCCAGGGGGAAGCACATGGAGTTGGGGGACTGCACAAGGCTTCCTGTAGGAGGAGACATTTGGGATGATCCCAAAGAATGAGCAGGATTTGGATGGAGAGGGATGGGGTGGAGGGAAGAGGTTGTTCCAGGCAGAGGGAACAGCCTAAGTGAGAACAGAGAGACTGGAAGGATGGGGTGTGTTTCAAGCCTAGGGAACAGTTTCTGGGCTGTTGGCTGTGAGGGGAGAAAGTAGAAGTCAGGGCTGTCGAGTTCAGTTGGGGCCACATTATTCAAGGTCTTGAGTGCCAAACTGAGGAGTCTGTGGTTAAACGGGAAGGCCCTAGGGAGCCATGGACAGTTTTGAGCAGGTACGGTCAGAGCAACGTGGCGGCATTGGGGGCAGGTCTGTGGAGAGGGATAGCGCCCCCATGGGTACATTGGTGCCGCACTGAAGTCCCTGCCTCCTCCGCCCCGGGCTGGCTGCTAGCGTGACTCATGGGGTGTGAAGAGAGATGGCGCTGAGCTGGGAGTTCCTGTGTACAGTGAACAGACCACATCTAGATAGGGGCTTGGCAAGGGAGCTTGGGAAGATGGCGAGCCTGGGCGGGACCTTGCTGCCTGGGGGTGCTGGAGCAGGGGCTGCGCCGCCTGGCTCTGTGGGGAAGGAGCTGTCCTCCAAGACCAGCACCCAGGCTGGTCACCGCATTCAGAAGCTGGCTCTGAGCGTCACTGACAGCCTCCTGTACGTCTCTGGGGACAGCAAGCTGCCCGAGGGGCTGCCCACCTCTCTTGCCTGCACTTTCTGGGTTTTCTGCCTCATTGTTCTTGACGCCCAGAATGAGGGGGGAGGGGATTCCATTTATCGGCCAGCGTCCGGAAGCTTCCCTGTCATGGGGGTGGTCTGTGGGCTTCGCCCAGGCTATCACCGGCCCTGCAGGACAGAAAGGCAGGGCTGGGTCTCGGACGTAGACAGCATCGGACACGGAGCCTTTGCAGCCACGGGGGAGCAGAGAGCGACATCTGGCTCCAGTCAGGCTACATGCCAGCCAGGAGAGTAGCCCCGGATCTGCCACTGGCCCTGAAACAGGGTTGGGGAGTCCCTCTGAGCCAAACAATGCTTGACTGACAGGCCTTTAAAATGGGCCTCTCCTCCCCGCGGGGCTGCAGCAGGCATCCGGAGCGGGCTGTGCAGAAGCTCACAGGCAGGACTGCAGGACCTGCGGTCTTAGGAAAGGATGTGTGTGCGACGGGAGACAGGGCTGTCACAACATGTCCATCCCAGTGTCCTGCGCCCCTCACCAAGTCTCACCCGGGATCTCAGGCGGACCCCGTGATCAGGGATGAGATAGAAAACAAGGGACCCCTTGTTGTCGCAGCCCTTGGCCTAGGGGGAGCCGCCAGGGGCGGTGCGGCTGGGGCCCAGGCTCCCGGGGCTGGGGTGCAGGCAGAGCAGGGTAAAGCCCGTGGGCCAGACCCCACAAGGCAGGGGGAGGTGTTTGCTTTCTCCCTCCCCGGGTGGGCATCCTCCCTGCTCTCCCGCTCTCACTCCTGTCGGCTAAGGGGAGCCTGGGCTGGGCCGGCCAGTGTGGGGGTTGTGGGACCGAGCCTGGCAGAGGGAGAGATGCCGGAAATCAGGGCCTGTCGCAGGCCTGGGCAATTATGCCACAGATCACAAAGAAACTGTGGTGTAAGCACCTTTGGGAGCCTAATGGAATACTTGGAGGTCTCAGGATGCCATAAAAATTCAATCAGCTCAGCTAACCTGGTGTCAGCGTGTCTGGACCCAGCGGGGCAGGTGCAGTGGAGGGGTGGGAGGAAGGGGCTGCAGGCAGGGGTGTCTCCAGAGTCCGACAGACACCCCCACCGCCCCCAGCACTGCCTCGTCCTCTGGCTGAGGGGAAGACGCCGGGTCCCCCAGGAGACTCCACTGCTGGTAGAGAAGTGGGGACAGTCCTGAGGGTAGGTAGGGCTGCTCACCCCACCCCGCAGGGCACAGAGCCAAGTCTGCAGAGCCGTCCCCAAGGCCCCTCAGCCCCGGCAGGGACAGTGTCAGAACATCCTGGGGCCTCAGCACTCACTGTGGGAGCAGAAGGCAAGGGGCACAGATGGAGGGGGACAGGAATGACATAGGCCACTTAACAGGTGTGACTTCACCTCCCTGAGCCTTAATTCCGCTTCAGAAAAATGGGGAACTAACAGGAGCCATTTCAAGTGTTGTTGGCAGGGCTGAGTGGCATCAGCTCACACAGAGCACGTAACACAATTCCTGCAGGTCCTGCCTACGGCGTGTGCTCAGAGGCTATGGTTCCATTTGTGTGAATTTAGGCTTCGAGTCAAGTCTCAGGGACTAGAGGCGTATTTCTGAGCTCTGAGGGACTCCGCTCTGTTCCAGGGGACTTGGCAAAGGGCAGGGGTTTGTGCAGAGAAAGGAGTTCTAGACTAATCTGGAACCTGGATGCTGCTTAAACGATTTAAGCCAGGGGTTCTCAACCTCAGCACTGTTGTCTTTTGGGACAGGTGACTCTTTGCTGTGGGGGGCTGCTCGGGGCATCGTGGGGTGTTTAGCAGCATGCCGGCCCTCTACCCTCTAGATGCCAGGGGCATCCCCAGGTTTTTTTTTTTGAGACAGAGTCTCACTCCGTTGCCCAAGCTAGAGTGAGCGCCATGGTGTCAGCCTAGCTCACAGCAACCTCACACTCCTGGGCTCAAGCGATCCTCCTGCCTCAGCCTCCTGAGTTGCTGGGACCACAGGCATGTGCCACCATGCCCGGCTAATTTTTTCTGTATATTTTTAGTTATCCAGATAATTTCTTTCTATTTTTAGTAGAGACGGGGTCTTGCTCTTGCTCAGGCTGGGCTCGAACTCCTGAGCTCAAACAATCTGCCTGCTTCGGCCTCCCAGAGTGCTAGGATTACTGGCGTGAGCCACCACGCCCGGCCCCATCCCCAGGTTTGACAACTAAAAAATGTCCCCAGGCATTGCCCAGTGTCCCCAGGGAGGAGGCAGTGGGGGAGGAGCAAGATTGGGCTGTAATAACAGGAGTGAGGGGACTGGGAGTGGGTGGCAGAGAAGCGGCTGTGGTGCCGCCCCGTTATAGAGTTGCTTCTCTTGCAGGGAGAAGCCGATGGCCGGGCCTGCCATCCACGCTGCCCGCATGCTCATCCTCATCCTCCTCGTGCTTCTGGGGCTGAGTCTGGTAGGCTCCCTCGCACCTGGAACCCCTGCTCGGAACCTCCCTGAGAATCACATCGACCTCCCAGGCCCAGCACTGTGGCCGCCTCAGGCCAGCCACCACCGCCGGCAGGGCCTGGGCAAGAAGGAGCGGGGCCCAGGCATGCCCAGCCAGGCCCAGGATGGGGCTGCGGTCACCGCCACCAGGCAGGCCTCCAGGATGCCAGGGGCTGAGGGGCTGCCACCTGGGCAGACTCCTGCAGGCCTGCTGCGGGACAAGGACCTGCTCCTGGGGCTGGCATTGCCCTACCCTGAGAGGGAGAGTCAGCCTCCAGGGTGGGAGAGGGCCAAGAAACGTGGCAGGGAGCACAAAAGACGCAGGGACAGGCTGAAACAGCACCGAGGTAGCTGGAGATCTGAGAGGACAGGAGGGGGCTGGAGGGAAGGGTCAGTGCTGTGAGGTCCCTGGGAGGACATCCAGGGGCCCCAGAGGGGGCAAGCAGTGGGCACCCACAGGAGAGGAGGGGTCTCACTAAAGCCAGAGGGGGTCTGGTAAGGGGAGGGGGTAGGGAGAGGCCTGGGGGGGTGACATGGGAGGAGAACAGGGATGTGTAGCAATGGAAGCTCGGTCTTATCAATAGATCATCCTCCTAAGTCTGCCTGTGAGCCATCCAGCCACCCTCTGTCCCCGCCTCTCCCTTCCCAGCCCATGCAGTCTCTGAACAAACATGTGGGGCAGCTCCACCCGGAGGGCCCCTCCCCTGCCTCACCTGGCCCTGAGCCCAGGCAGGCAACTGGGCTTCTGAGTCTCTTCATGTGACAAGACTGCCTCTAGGGGCACCCCTCATGCCACAAACACAGTGGTGTTGGGGGGAGTGTTTCTTTGGCAGGAGGGCGATGGAGCCTCAGCCCCGCTTTCCCTGCAAACAGCTGGGGCTCGCTCCCCTGCCAGACCTACTGAGACCTCTCAAGTGGGCAGAACTCAGCTGGGGCTCCCAGCTTTGACTTTCAACCTTCCACCCCTGGAGGTCATCTGTGTCAGCTTGGGGAAGGGATGCTGGCATCTTTGAGGTCAATCTAGGGGCACACCTGGGACATGGACTCATCTATCCGGCTCCAGTGGAGCAGGGGACCCTCCTAGGAGGGTTGGTATGATGGGCAGGAGGTGGGGGACAGAGGAGGCCCGCAGGTTAGGCCCTGTCCTGCTGACAACCAGCCGTGAAACCTCAGGCCAACTGGGCCGCAGTTTCCTTGTCTGCAAAATGAATGGGATGAATTCAGTGGTCCCAGAGTCCCCTTTCCACTCCTGGGTGACCCCAACTGACTGAGTGACTTCCTCTCACACTTACCCTACCCCATGCCCATGTGTTTTGGAAGGCAGAATCAGTGGTTTAAAAGGTCAGATGGACCTGGGTTCGAATCCAGGCTCCGCTACTCATGAGCTGGGTGTCCTTGGACAAGTTACCTAACCTTTCTGTGCTTCAGTTTCCTCTCCTGTAGATGGGGCTGAAGGAGCACCCACTTCCTAGAGCTCCTGCAATGGTTAGATGAACAATGCTTGCAAAGCGGCTCATGTGGGACCCAGCACAGGTGCTGAATAAATGGGGTGATGACTAATTTATCACCACATAGGAAGCACTCACTTGTGTGTGATAAGCTGTGGCTCCCACCTCCCAGCTTTCTCAAAGGCCTTTTCCTTCTGCAATGCCTCTTGGCCTCATTGCATTGCTCGCTACTCAAACTTCACCTCCTCCAGGAAGCCTTCCATAGTTAATCCTAACAGTACCCATTTGTTACACTTATGTCCCAGGCTGTACCCAGCCAACCCAGACTTGGATTTCCTTGGAATGCTTCTTTATAGGGATACTCCTTGAACCATCTCCCCAGCAACACTGAGAGTTCACCCAAGACATTTCCCCTACTGAGTTCCCCGTTTTCACCTCCCCAGGAGGGCAGGCAGCAGGGATGTTAACTGAACCATGGGCTTGTCACCTGGTCCCTGCTGCCCCCTGGTTCACAGCACAAAATGTGGGTTCTACTGTAGGCTGACATGAGGTGGCAAGCAGATAAGTCCCCTGCGCTTCCCACCCCATGTCTCAGGCCGAGCCCTGGTCCGAGGTCCCAGCTCCCTGATGAAGAAGGCAGAGCTCTCTGAAGCCCAGGCGCTGGAGGCCGCAGCGGAGGAGTCCTCTACCAGCCTGGCCCCGACCATGCTCTTTCTCACCACCTTGGAGGCAGCACCTGCCACAGAAGAGTCCCTGATCCTGCCTGTCACCTCCCTGAGGCCCCAGGTAAGGGGTCCCAAAACAGCCTTGGAGCTGGAAGGGTCTTGAGACCATGCCGTGCAAAGTCCTCAGTTCACTCAGGGAGACAGGCACGGGGGCAGGAGGCCACCGGGCCTGCATTGGAACCAGATCTCCAGACACCTGCCCAGCCCAGCTCCATCCTGAGAAAGGGCTGCCACTGTCCAGGAGAAGGTGGTCCTGGAGGCTCACTCTGGGGACAGTCAAGGAAGCAGGTGGCAGCTCAGCACACTGGTCTCTGCATGGAGAGCAGGGGCACTTGAGGAAGAACTTTAAATGCACAGAAAAGCATAGAGCATAACAATGGCAACTAATGAGCGAGCATTAGTTCACCCCTGGACTCATCTGCTTCCGATCTTTAAAAAAGCCACATGGAGCAAGAGTTAGCAAGCCACAGTGGCAAAAGCGCTGCCCACCGGTGATTCTGGAAGAAGGGTATGTAAGAGTTAACCCCATCATTCTTGCACCTCTTCTGTGGCTTTGAAACTTTTAAAAATAAACTCATTTAAGAGGATCAGTAGTATATACGTTATATGTATGTATAAGAAATAATACATAAAAAAGAAATAAAACTTTTAGCAGTAGATTTTTCCTATCCTCTTTTTGGGTCTTGTATCCCCTTGAGATACTGATAACAGCTGGGGACCGTCCCCCGGATTACATGGTTGTCCACTTCATCCGGGCCCCCAAAGCCCTAGAAAGTGCGGTTCCTGCCCATGTCCTGCCTCACACGGGCACTGTGGGCAGATCCAGCCACGGGCTCTGGCCTCAGCGCTCCCGGGGCCACTGGCTGGGGCCGTGTGCGGGACTAAGCCCCGGCTGTGGCCTCGACAGCGCACAGAGAGCTGGTAACTTCTACAAGCGGAGGAAAGGGACAGGAAAGTGAGTGGGGGGGCTACTTCCGATTCCCGCCTCATGGGCTTGGAAACCTTGAGCAAGCAAGATTCAGCCACTCCTCAGAGGGCCTGGCGCTGGCCGTGTCTGCACCGCTGCCTACAGGCGCCATCACACTTGGGTGGTGGCTGCACCGTGAGGAAACTGCCCTACTGGCTGCTGCAGCAGGAGCCTCAGACACTCGTCTCGACGTCCTCAGGCTGGGATTCCAGGCTGCCCAGCAGAGGACGAGGTGATCTGTGACGGGCCCCTCCTTTGCCCTCTGGCCTTGGGACCCCACATTCCTGCTTCCATCGATTGGAAGTCTCCAGATTCCCCCCCCAACCGCCGTCCACCCTTTCTGCAGGCACAGCCCAGGCCTGACGGGGAGGTGATGCCCACGCTGGACATGGCCTTGTTCGACTGGACCGATTATGAAGACTTGAAACCCGATGTCTGGCCCTCTGCAAAGAAGAAAGGTACACCCACCTGTCCCAGTGCCCCCACGCCTGGGCTCCCCTCCCTCCCCCACCATCCGTTGGGAGGGGGTCCCAGTGAGCCCGGTCTGGCCTGCAGATGTCCAAAGGCAGGGGGGGTCATCGAGTCTGAACCAGCACTGACCCTCGAAGTGGACAATGCTACCGAGTGCTCATTGCGCCGCGGAGCTTCCCACGCATCAACTCACTTAACCCTGGGGGAAAGCCGGTTAGGTCTGAGCCACTGTTGATCCCATTTTAGAGAAGAGAAAGCTGGGGCAGAGAGCAAGAGGAATCAGGCCTGACCCAGGCCACACTGTGGCGTGGCCACATGGGCACCCTGGCACCGAGGCCTGTGCTCAATCTCTCTGCTCAGCTGAGCCTCAGCTTCTGACAACAGATCTTCTCGTCCCCAGAGAAACACCGGGGTAAACTCTCCAGCGATGGTAACGAGACGTTGCCGGCCGAAGGGGAGCCATGCGACCATCACCAAGACTGCCTGCCAGGTACCGACCAGCACCACGTTCAAGGCACCAGGCCGGGTCCTGGGAGGAAGCCCGGGTAGTGGTAGGGGTGAGGGTCCCAGGCACAGGAGCAGGTCCATGACCCTTTACTGATGATCAGTAATAACAAGAGCTGCTACCACTTTCCCGGGAGTTGCTGCCATACGTTAATTCATTTAGCGCATTACTCAAGCAACCCAGGGAAGGGGGACTGTCATCCTCCACTTTCAGGCAAGGCAGCTGAGCCCCAGAGAGGCAAAGTATCTTGCCCAAGGTCACACAGCTAGGAAGTGGCTCACCCCTGAGTTAGCTGGGTTCCAAAGCCTCTCACCATGGCCCCACGCCGCCTTCAGGGTGATCTTTTCTTGCTCTCTTCCTCCCAACACCTGGCAGGGCTTAAATCCGTCCTTGTCCCATCTCGACACTGCCAGGGCTTAAATCCGTCCTTGTCCCATCTCGACACTGCCAGGCTTTCTGGGGGTGCTTTTGACGACATCCTCACGGTCAAGACAGTCTGAAAACAAGGGGCTTGATGTTTTGACTGATGCCCTAAACTGCTGGCCCCTGTTGGGCCCACCGGACCCTCCAGAGAAGCAGACACTAAGGGGAGTTAGAAGTAGAAGAGGTTTATTTTGGGGGTGGGTAGCACCTGTGAAAGATAGAAGGAGGAGGAAGCAAGACTGGGCAGAGAAAGCTCCAGATCGTGATGCGAAGTCCCAGCCGGAGCTCTGGGGCGGGCAGAATGGGAGGCTGGCATGTGCCACGGACCCAGGTGGCCCCTGCAGGTGCAAACAGCTGGAGGCTGTCAGCTAACTGCCATCTGAACAGCAAGTGCTTTCCAAGGAGAGATCTGAGTGCCACAGCGGCCAGATTATTCTACAAAGCAGCAACCAAACCAGCAATTTGCATCATATAAGCCAGACAACCAGCTCCGTGGCAGGCTGGTTTCTTTCCAAACCATTGTTTTCACCCTGAACACAAAGAAAAGGCTCGAGTCTGGGCCAACCAAGTCTGGGCCAACCGACAGTCGCTCTGAGAGCTGACCCCTCGGTGGGCGAGGCCTTGGGCTTGGCTGGGACCATCCTACAGCCGCCTGGGGCTTCGGTTTCCCCATCTGTCAAAAGAGGACGTTGGTACCGGTGATCGCGAGGCCCCTCTCGGCTCTGAGCGGGCTCCAGACCTGGCCGTCCCCAGCTGTTCCTCCTGCTCTCCCTGGGAGGTGACCCCACACCACCTCCACTCTTCCCACGATCAATCAATTGCCCATCTGGGGCAGCTGGGGTCTCTGCCACCCGCCCCTGGGGGCCTCAGCCATGACACGCGTGGGCGGTTCTGGCGGTTCTGGCTGGGAGCCTCGCACACCAGATGGCCCCCCTTGCCGGGGCACAGCCTGCCGCAGCAACGATGGATGTCCCGTCCAGTGGGACTGAGTGCAGGGCTTCGGGGAGGGCCCGCTCAGCTTGGCTGACCGCGTGTGCTTGCTGTGTCGGCAGGGACCTGCTGTGACCTGCGGGAGCATCTCTGCACGCCCCACAACCGAGGCCTCAACAACAAATGCTTTGATGACTGCATGTGTGTGGAGGGTGAGTCTGGACTCCTTTGCAGGGGACTCCCCCCGCTCCAGGAACCACAGAGCTCTCCCTTTCTCCAAGCCGGTTCTGCAGTGAGGTGGGGACAAGATTTCCCAGTGGGTGGGAGAGTCCCCTGGGAGCTGAGGACAGGAGCGAGAACAGCTTTGCACGGTGCCTTCCCAATCTGTGAACTCATTTAGTCCCGATTCCTGGCATTGCTTCTCAGATTTGCTTTTCTCACCTCTTGAGAAAATACAAGCTGGCGTGATGATCTCCCACGATCTGGAGGAGGGAGAAGGGAGGAGATGGGAATGAATCTCTTTAAATAAGATCCAACCTTAGAAGGCTGCCGCTTTCACACCGGAATTCCACCCCAGGGGAGGCATTCAAGTGCCATAAGATAACAGCGCTGGGGTGGGTTTCCCGGCACTGTCCCGGGGAAGCATGCATCTGGCCAGCTACTTCTTTAACCCCTCCTGGCTCCCGCCTCGCCCAGTGTGCCAGGCTCCGTGCCAAGCACTTTGTCTCCTGGGATCCTCACGACCTGTCCCCCAAGGGAGCTATCACGATCCCCACTTTACAAATAAGCAAACTGAGGCACAGGAAGCTTAAGTGACTTGCCCAAACTTAACGGCTGGAAAAGTGGGGGGATATTTTCAATTTTGTATTCTGAAAAATTTCAAATACATACTAAAGTCATCAGAATGGTGAAACGCACCCCCACTTTCCAGCATTCGGCTTCAGTAACGGCCCACTCATGGCCGGTCTGTGTTGTCGCTCTGCCGCCCGCTTCCCTCCCTCCAATATGATTTGGAAGCAACTTGGGGGAGTTTACGGATATTTCATCTGTGAATATTTTAGCATGCAAAAGAGTCCTAAAAGATAAGTACTCCTTTAAAAAACAAAATGCCAAAAATGAACAATAATTACTCAGTACATGCAATATCCATCAGCATTCCCATCTCCTGAGTGGGAGAATTTGGTCCCAGCCCCTCTGTTAACCCGAGATACGTGCCCTATTTTACCCACATCGTCCTCAAAACGTACCTGCTGTGAAAGCAATAGACCTCTTTGGTTTCGCTCATTCCTTCATCTAGTCGGTTAAGAAATGTTTATCAAGTGCTTACTACGTGTCAGGTATCATCCCGGACACGGGAGATCCAGTGGTGACAGGTGGCAAGTTCTGCACCCGGGGATTTCATTCGAGTCAGATGAGCAGACAAAAAGCAAATAAATAGATACAATGTCTTTAGAAAGTAATACGGCTCTAACGCAAATACCAAGATAACGAGTCCTGGAGTTGCTTCAGAAGCATGGGCAGGACTGGGCAGCGGGGCCAGCTACCTGAAGACGGGAGGGCAAGGACCTCGGCAGGAACAAGCCAGGGGAAGATGGTACAAGGCGAGTGGGGAGAAGCTTCTGGAAGGATCACACAGGACCTTGTGGGCCTTGTCTGGATTTTTTTTGTTTGTAATTGGATGTCACTGGCAGGTTTTAAGCAGAGGAGTGACATGGTCTGATCTGTAAGTTTAAAGGCTCACTCTGGCTGCAGGACTGTGGGGGCCAGAAGTGGGGACAGGGAGGACCACCTGGGTGGTGAGCGAGAACGGAGCCAGGTGAGGTAGGGGATGCTGGAAAGCCGCCTTCTGTAAGACGCAGTTACCTGTGTGCAGAGTTAGGGTCCCATTTCGCAGAGGAGGAGACTGAGGCACAGAGCAGGCAGGAGGGCACTGGAGCCCAGCCAGGGCGACGGGGATGTGGGTGGCTCAGTGCATGGCCTCTCTGCCCAGGCGGGAGGGGGGCGTACGCTGCTTCCCAGGCACCTGAAAGGTGTGTTGCATCCAAAGCCTGTCTGCTTGTTCCCTCCTTCTCGCACTGGTTGGACCCACTAAAATTCTTGCTTCATTCCTGGAGACTCAAGATCTGAAAAAAAATGGAAAGCGGAAATCGCAGCTTGGTCAGCTTGTTAAAATCGGTCCAGGAGGGAACTGTCACCCAGATGCCACACTACAGGGATCTGGGGGATGCCAGGAACCCTTATGGGGACCAGGAGTCTTGAGGACGCCTGAGAAATCCCAAAATGTTGGACACACGGCCCAGGGCTGAAGTACGGTAGTCAAGGCCAGCCAGGGTTCTGGAGGGTTCCACAAGGGTTTCTCTAGCCACCAAACACTCCTGCTCATGAATCCCCTGTCCCTCCCAAGTGTCACTAGTGTGGCCACAGGTCTGAAAGCCCAGTAGTGGCCCAGGGTAAATTCTAGGTCCCTAAGCACTAACTTCCCAACCAGTCCTTTACTCTCTTGACAATGACAAGAGTGGCTCTGAAAGTAGAGATGTTCTCTTTCCCTGTGGTCACTCCTAACCTGAAACGTAGGGGTTTCTCAGGCCACACACTGGCGTCTCTTTCCCCTACCATCAGGAGGATGTGAACTTCTGTGGCCTTAAATGGAAAATATGTTCTCCCCACGTCTCGGGGCATGACTGTGGTGTGATAGAGAAAGACACAGCCATGAACGCTCCCACTGGTGGGCCTGGAGGGCCAGACCTACTTTAATTCGGGTGGCCAGGGAGGGTCTCTTTGAGACCCGAAGGCTGTGAAGGAGCGAGCTACGCAAAGAACTTGGGGAAGGGATTTTTGGCTGAGAGAACTGTACGTGCAAAGGTCCTGAGGCAGGAAATGGCTAGGTATGTGAGGAAAAGCAAGAAAACTGGGTGTGGCT